TGCATATGAAAAATCGGCATTGAAGAGCAGAGCGGATGAAAAATTCACATGCTCGAGTCGAGTCGATGACAAGCAGGTATTAAAGATTGAAACGAATGAAAAATTAGCTTTAAAGAGAGAGCTGAATGAAAAGTTAATAGTATCGAGTTGAGTGGATGAAAAGTTAGCATTGTCGAAGTTAGAGGATGAAAAATTGACATTGCGAAGTGTTCCAGATGAAAAGTTAACAGTGTTAAACTCAGTATTAGCGAAATTGACGTTCTCCATATCAATGCCTACAAATGTTGCATTTGATAGAAAGATACCAGTCAATGATAAGTTGTTTAATTTCTTTGTATTGATTGCTGTATAACGAAAATCTATATCACGAAGTTCTGCTGTTGATAGATCCAGTGAAGAATTTTTGTGTATTCCAGTAAGTTGTTTGGCTTCGTAGAGAAATCGAACAATTTGAATGTTACGCTGTGTATCTAGTTGACGAAGGATAGTCAGAGTTTTAGCTCGAGCAACAGTAGCCGTAAGTTCATCAGCTGTGAGTGAACCATTGCTCTTTTCCAATAATGTAGCCATATCATTAATATAAGCAACAAGTAACTCGTCTCGATACCGCTCAGTTGTTAGTTGACGCTGAAATTCATTCGATCGATTTGCCGTCTTCTCTTCTACTTGGCGCTGTTCTCTCAATTCATTGAGATCTTCGAGCCGTTGATACCTGGATTCATTGAGATCTTCAAGTCGTTGTTCTCGGATCATTTTTTGTTGATGAAAAGTGATGACAATAGTGAAAATACCCAAAACAAGTGGAATAATTAGTGAGGAAATCCATTGAAGTGCATCCTTTGCCGCTAAACACTGGCATCTTCGATATTGGCGACGGTGTTGATTTGTTTGTGTTGCTTGCTCTTGAGTGGCCATCTTATTTAGTGACTGTTGCACGAATACTATTCTAGTCAGTAAGTACGACGAAGCTGTCAACTATCTTTTTTATTATTTGATGTGTACAGAACATATTTTACTACCAAAAGACAAGGGAGAGAGAGAGAGAGAGCACAAAATAAATAGTTGTCTTTTTATTAAAATTGTAATTCGATGACATTATGATCTTTGATCATGTCTATAAGGATTGTTGATGGCATACAGCATGCATAGTAAATTTCTTTGTATTTATCTTTCTCAACAGTCCACGTAATCGATGTTTTTCAGTATGCAGATGTGAGTGTGGAGTGAGCCCGTGGATGCGACTGTAGATGGATACGGGTTTGGTTCTGTTTTTTATCAACTCTTACTCACAGCCAATCGCATATTCATCAACACTGTATTATGAACATTTCAAGTTAAACAAAAGATATTTTGCTTCTTGAAAGACCAGATAGCTCGATTTGAGTTCCATGAAAATCATGCTCAGCGCTATTTGATTAGTATGATCCATTCACCAATCGGTAGATCAATAGAACGTGATAAAGTCATTCTCATTTGTTTTCTTTATTTGTGTGACATATAGATGCCAGTTAACATGATCATTAGTCAAAGTGAGAGACGTCGAGAAAAACTGATATCATGAGAATAGAGCAAGAGGTATTAGTTCCGATGGTAATTATTTTGATCTTGCGAAATGTCTCACCAGATGACTTGAATGTTTTGAAAATTACGAATAAGTATTGTAAAAAAAGAGCATATGCTGCATCTTTTTTTTGTACATGGAGTAGTAGAAGTTGTTAAAGTCGGCCACGATCTTTTTTACAAGATTATTAATCTTGCACCCTTCTTTAAGAAGTACGAAGAAGTCTAGTTAGCCACAAGTACACTATCTATCAGACCTATACAAAACAAACAAAAACTCGTCTTGTCCCGTCGTACGAAGATCTGATCTCAGGAGCCAATTTTTTTCTGACCTCTTTTCACTTTCGGAAAAGCGTCCCACATATGAAGGAAGAACGTTTCAAATGACATACAATCGACTCACTAGTACAGTATGTTTTTTTAAGTCATAAAGCATGACTAACTTAACGCAATCGATTTATGTTGAGGCACTCATTGAAAGTCTTTTACGATTGACAGAAAGTTCATGAATAAATGGTTGAATCTTGCTGCCATGTGCTCTCAACATATGAATACTAGCAGGTAATCTACGGATATTCATTTACACGATTTATTTTTTTTCTAAAGAGTATCTGATTGTTTAGTTAATGTGATAGAAAAGGAAAAAGAGATTTTCAGCTGTACTTTTAATGACCGGGTCTCCACTTTTAACCAATATGTTTCAAATATTTGAGCACATTAATCAAAAACTCTAGATTGCGACGAATAATATATATGTTCTATTCAAAGATGCTTCGAAAAATCTTTCAACAAATGTCTCAAAATAAACTGGTTGCATAGAATATGGCTGCTATTAGTTCAAATACTTGTTGAAATAAAACTAATTTGAATTTATTCTAATCCTTATCAGCTGTAAGTCTCGACAAGTTTCTACAAGCAATGTGCAAGACAATTATAAGCTTAAAAACTTTTATACGACGACTTTGTGAGATGGAAACGGAGGTTCATCTGTCCCAACATTATCTGAAAACATTTCCTCTCTTCTGTGGGACTTCGTTACCTACTGGAAATCGATAAATTTCCTCGTTCCAAGAGAATTTCTAATATTATTTATTGTTTTCCGTTCTGAAAATATTTAATAAATTTTTTTTTTGTCATACCGACACATCAACGACTAAATAGTATACTTCTTGCATTTCTCAAAGGTTTCACTCAATTTTGAGCTATAGACATTAGAATTTTCAAAGAGATATCTGAATGAATTCTTTCATTTTCCGTATACAATGATTGGATCTACTGACAAAGAATTCATCCAGAGCCCTCCATCTTTTTAATCCATTGTGGATGCGCAATATTAGCAGAAATATCAGTATGAAAAATAATATCAGACAAAACTATTAGACATATAAGAAAAAGCTTAGCTCTGCATTATTCGCTTGCCTTCATATCTCAGGACGTAGGAAGCATTCATTGACGTCAAAAGAAATCAGATATCACAAGTTTCTTCATGACAATCTTGTTTGAATAAAAATTTACTAAACATGATAAATATCTTCGAATGTTGGTCGGAGAAATAGTTACAAATCATGACCAACCAAGTATCATATTGTTTCCAACTCAAATAATAATACTTTTGTGATTTAATCACGTCTATGAAAACGTGATATATAATCACATATGTAGTCCTGACAAAGTAAAAGAAAAACAGAGAATAATCGGGATTCTGTCACAACGCTTTTAGTGTTTCAGTATTTATTCTCTTTCTGCTTTTGATCTTGTTAATTGCAATTAACTTTCTTGAATGTGAATTGGTGTCGAGTGGATGTTCTGTTCAACTACAACAACACCCACACTGACACCCAAGTCTGTCGTTTTATGACCATTGGAAAAAATAATAATTATGTTCATATAATACTTTCATTTACCAATGTTTCGTTTCATCGAATGACTCGATTATAGAATAACTTAAACAGCTTTTTAAAATCTTCATGAAATGTTTTTGATATGGCAATATTTATGAAAAACATAAGTCTTGCAATAGCTACAATAAAATTTCCTATTCGAACACGATCAATACTATTTACCATATCCATATAAGTTGTTATAGCAATTTCTCTGGGTCGTGTGGGTGTGGATGCAAATGAAGAAAATATTGCTATTGACATCCACACTAACACCTCAATTTAGCAAATAAAAGATAAAGATTATTTATAATAGATGCCCAGAAGAAATACATTGAACAAGAGTTTTCACGATATTTTCTAAAAAGTATTATAATAAAACTAGTCCCTATTATATCCAATATGAATGTAATAGATAATCCATAACGACTAAGTTCAGTTTGAAAATTGGTCATAAACGTGTTGACATTATAGTTTTCATTATCTTTCTCTAAAACAATGATAATATATAAGTATAGTTTTGTTAAATCGCATAATTCATATTCTGTTCACTTGTGGATGTGGGTGTGCTCATCTATTTACCCACACCCACACCCACACCCAC